TGGCTGAGGAGACCCTGCTCTCTCTAAGGTGGGACCAGATGTACTGCCGACAGTCAGGTTGCATCCTTCTCCAGACGTCCACTATGCCCTGAGAGTGGACCAGCTGCTTTAAGGTGTGCTGAGAGGCTGGATGAGGCTCTGCATGGTTGCGATCTAGCTTTGCGTCTTCCATGCAGTTAAAATCCCCACCCAGAAACAAATAGTCCTCTATGCCACACCCACTTACCACCTCAATTAATTTGAGGAAAAACTGCTTCCTCTCTGCACCGGCTATTGGGGCATAGATGTTCATAAAAAGCAACTTTAAAATGGTCGAACTGAGCCTTAACTAAAAACAGCTTCCTCCTACACACAGTGCTGGACCTCCAGTGAGTTGGGATTAAAAGCCCTGGACAAGAGGAGGCACACTACTCCACTGAGAGGAGCGTGGTGGCCTAAAATGGCCTCCCCTTCCCACTCCCTCCTCCACTCAGCCTCGTTGCTAAAATCACTGTGAGGTACCTGACGGAACAGGACGTCTATCTTTTTAAGTGTGGCTGTCTCATATATTGCCTCCTTTCCTCAGATCTCTGGCTCTGTTTACATTTAAAATACCCAGTTTAAAAACATCCATGACAAAAGAGATGTTAAAAACCAGGATAAAAACAATTAAATTAATTAAAACAAACTTGGCTTCCACCTTTATCGTTCAGCTGTCTTTTGGACTTCAGCATAAGTTTCCTCAGTCTGAAACGCTCCTGATCTGTGAGGCCAGACTCTTGTTTGCTGCTCATATGGAGTCTTGCTGAGAGAATAAAAAGACCGAGGTCTGGGAAATGATCTTCCACTTTGACTCCATGTTGGTTCTGTGTCTGGTGTAAAAACAACTTTATTTTTTCTACTGTATATAAAACTTTGTTTTTTTTTGTGAACTGCTAAAAGAAATATCGCTGTTGTCTGACACCCAATTCTCCCCACAGCTTTTTTTCTGTCCGTATTTCTTGTCTTTCTTCTTCTTTTACTAGTTTTACTTTTTCCCACCCTTTCCTCCTCCATGTCTGCCTCCTCCACTCATTCAGCCCATGAAGCCCTCTTGTCTGTCTCCTCTCCTTCCTCCTCCACCTGCTTCTCCAGCCCTACCTCACCCTGTTCCTCCTCACCTCCCTCAACCACTTGCTTTGTCATTTTTTCTTTTTCTCCCTCCACCTCACCAGTACTATTTACAGTTTGATGATTCACACTGCATTCACGCTCATCCATTCTTTCCCCTCCTCCCTGGTCTTAACCAGCACACTCTCTTCACTCACGCTGTCATTCACGCCTACACCCGGTTTATTCACATTACTCACCCCGTGTTCTGTGCTCTCCTGGTCGGTCACAGCAGCTCGTCTCCTCGGTAAAGCCCGAGGAGCAGCGATCGGCCGCTCAGGACGAGCCTCGGCCACCGCATCCCCCAGGAGCCCAGACCGGGGGACCGCGGCCCAGGCACTGCCGGGGCAGCGGTGGCCTCGGCACCAGCGCCGGATGACTCCGCCGAGCCGGGCGGAGCCGGCTCAACCCGCTGTGGACAGGATTTCACCGTGTCCCTCCTCCCTGCAGCCAAAACATTTCATGCCAGCTGGCAAAAACCACGTAGTCATAATCATCTACTCTCACACAGAAGCTGAGGCTGAGTTCCTCACTCCGGTTACTGAGTATCATGAAGACTTGTCGTCTGTGAGACACCACATGCTTCCACAGCGGAGACTTACATCCAGACAGAATCTTTTTGATGGGTGGCACCACCTTCCCATATCTGGAAAGCTCCTTGGTCAGAAACTCATCTGACACAAAAGGAGGGACATTGGACAGGACGACCCGGACAGCCAGCTGGGACACAGAGGCTTTACCGGGACGAACCTGTCCAACATGGTGATCCCCGTCTCTACAACGGAGTTGGCTTTCTCCACCCGGTCCAGGAAGATCACCACGGTGCTGTTCATCCTGGCCGCCGATTTCACGCTGCTGTGACCGACCTTTTCCCCTCAGCCAGCCCGACCTGCTCCACGCTGCAGGGGAAAGGTGCAGCGATGCCGATCCCAGGTTTGTGGGTGAGCTGCCTCAGCCTGCCATGGCTGCTGCCAGGCACCGGCAAACAGGGACCACGCAAACCCACTGAAAGAAAACCCACAAAAGAAAGAAATAAACAAATGTGCTTTGTGATGAATAAACTATTGTGACTGTGAACATAAAACACTTAACCAAACAAAACAAGAAAATCAAAAGAGAGAGAGAGACACCACCTGTCTGTCTGTCTGTCTGTCTGTCTGTCTGTCTGTCTGTCCTCCAGGACCCGTCCATCAGAGGAGTCTTTCATTTCTCGGGTAAAGAGCAGATGACCAAGTATGAGATGGCCGTTGCGATCGCTCAGGCCTTCGGTCTGCCGTCCAACCATCTGATACCTGTGAGTCCTTATCAATATGTTTATTGATACACCTGCAACAGCAGCGATCAGTTGGGGACATGGTATATGAATCCAAGCTTTTTTCTCTTCACTTGTGTGTCCTGCAGCTGACAGAGCAGCCAGCAGCGTCGGCTCTTCGTCCAATCAACAGCCAGTTAAACTGTTCTCGTTTGGAGCTGCTGAACCTGAGTGTCGAGCCGCGACCTTTCAGCTCAGCCATCGCCGACTGCCTGTGGCCGTTCACACCCGACAAACGCTGGAGACAGACTGTCTTCCACTGAGACACAGACAGGTCGAGCAACAGCCAGGTGGTCTTGATGCACATGTACATTTTCCTTGTTTAACCTTGATGCACAACGTTAAGTCATTGTTCCCTGAGTTCCGTCTGCAGGTGTCTGCATTGCTCATGTTATGATCAAAATAAAACTCGTCTACGTCTCGACTTTGTTCATGTGAGCAAACTGAGAACAGCTTTGTACTTGAATATAAATATCCACTGTACACCTCACTGTGTGTTTGACTTCCACACAAAAGGTTTTATCCTCTTTAACGTCATCGGTCTTTGGTTTAAATTTACTCTTTGAAACCTTTTGTTTAGTCGCAACATAAACAGACCAAACGTAATGAAAATACAACAGAAATAGAAGGTTGAGACTGAATGAAGGTTGCCGAATCCAAAAGATCATGTGAAGTATTTGTATTTTTCTTTTTAACCAAATGTCATTTGAGTGCTACGGTCCAAAAGAGTGGCATCATCATTTGCCACAAAAACAACATTAGTTTGAACTTCAAGTAGCGTCAGTGACTTCGTTTCTAATCAGCAGGTTAAAAGTAGATCTTTTGAATATAAGGAAAATTTTGAAGGTATGTAGCTGACATGGTTAAGATCCAGAGGACAAACCAGCTGTTTTCAGTACTGCATCTGATGTGAAGGCTGAAAATTCAACATGTAGATCTGTTGTTTGGGAATGTAAACAGCTTCACATTAAAAATTTGAAAAACTGAATTTGCCCTCTGAGTTTTTTCAGCAAATGTGATCATTCAGCAGCTTTCAGTGCAGGAACTCCGTTCAGGTGCCAACATTTTCAGAATCAGAATCCTTTCTGTTGTCGTTATGCATACGTTACATACACATAACGAAACTGCAGTTGGAAGTCTTGGCTTCCAGCAAAAGTAGAAAAATGGCATAAATAGACTTTGAAATATAAGCACAAATGAGAAAGTAATACCCCCGATGAATTGCCACCTTATCACGGTGGCGGGGTTTGAGTGTCCCTGTGATCCTGGGAGCTATGTTGTCTGGGGCATTAGTCTGTGGTAGGGTCTCCCAAGGCAAATTGGTCCAGAGGGACCAGACAAAGCGCAATTCAAAGACCCCTGATGACATCAAAAAGAAGGAAAGGCACCACTTCACCTGGATTAGGGAAACCGGGGCCCCCTCCTGGAGCCAGGCCTGGTGGGGGGCTTGCCGGGGAGCGTCTGGTGACCGAGCCTTGGGGCCCTGTGGGGCTTGGTTGGGCATAGCCCGAAGAAGCAACACAGGGCTGCTGCCCAGAGGGCCCACCACCCACAGGGCAGAAGATCGGGGTCGGGTGCTATGCCCACCAGGTGGTAGGCAGGAGCGGGCGTCCACTCCTGGTGGCGTAGATGTGCCCCAGGGACATGGAATGTCACCTCACTGGTGGGGAGGGAGCCTGAGATGGTGCGGGAGGTGGAGCTAGATATAGATATAGATATAGATATAGTCGGGCTCACCTCCACGCACAGCAAGGGCTCCGGAACCAAACTCCTGGAGAGGAGTTGCTCACGGTGAGAGGCGCCGGGTGAGTGTGGGGATACTCACAAGCCCCCAGCTGAGCGGCGCCATGTTGGAGTTCTCCCTGGAGAACAAGAGGGTCGCCTCTCTGCAGAGGGGAAAACTCTGACTGTCGTCTGTGTTTATGCACCAAATGGCAGTTCAGAGTATCCGGCCTTCTTGGAGTCTCTGGGTGGTGTCCTGGAAGGGGTGCCGCCTGGGGACTCCACAGTTTTCCTGGGGGACTTCAATGCTCATGTGGCCAATGACGGAGAAACATGGATGAGCGTGATTGGGAGAAACAGCCTGCCTGATCTGAATGCCTCCGGAGAGGCTTCCTCTGAGGTCTTCCGAACATGTCCACCTGGGAGGAGACCTCGGGGCAGACCCAGAACCTGCTGGAGGGATTATATTTCTCGGCTGGCCTGGGAACGCCTCGGAATCCTCCAGGAAGAACTGGAAAGTGTCGCTGGGGGAGGGAAGTTTGGAATGACCTGCTCCGCCTGCTGTCCCCTCTACCTGACCCAGGATAAGCGGAAGAAAATGGATGGATGGATGGATGGATAGATAAAAGTCCATTCATTACCTATACACTGCTTAATCCTCACCAGGGTCGTGGGGGGCGGAGCCTATCCCAGCTGACTCAGAGTGAAGGCAGGTTCACCTGGACAGGTA